ATTTCCTCTTCTGCAGACCACTGCCCAGATTTATTTTGTCGCTTTTTCCATCAAAAATTAAAATGACATAAAGGATTTGCTCTTAATTTTATCAGACACACAAAATAATAATTAATCCTCATCATTTTTTTAAAAAATTACCTAAATTTATATGGCAAGAAAAACAAATTTCTTAAAAAATATATAAATAAATTGCATATAAGTTTCTTTAGTATTGAATGGCATTTTTGTAATTTAAATAGATAGCATTTTTTTGTACTTAACATAAAGAAATAGATAGCCCTTATCAAATTTTTTGATAAAAAGAGTTAACCCACTAATTGGTAAATCCGAGATTTCCCCTTCATGTGATGATAAATTATTAAGAAATTTAACTATCTTCCGGTTTGGGAAAAAGTTTTGAAAATTAATATGGGTTGGACTGGGCTTGTGAAATATTCCTCAAGATTAATATTTGCTTGCACCTGACTTGGGAATATCTTTTACAAATTATTATGGGCCGGGCTAGGAAAAAATTTTCAAAATTATTATGGGTTGAGTTAGGCTTGAGAAATTTTTTTAAATTATTTGGACGCTTGGAAATTTTTTCCAAATATTATAAGCTTGGACCTGGCTTGAAATTTTTTAATGTTAAATGTTAGTCTTATGTAATCAGTAATATATTTACAAAGAATTTTGATATTGGGTAAGAGCTCATTTAAATATATATTTACTCAAAAAATAGTTTCCACTCTTAGTCCTAATGGGTTGGACTCAATGACATTGGTTGGACTTGACCTAAATGGGGAGGGAGGGGGGTTAAAAATAATATAAATTGGATATAATTTTTAAATAAAAGGTAACATCTTTCTTAAAAAACGAATAAAATTCTCATTCTCCGTCATTTTTGACAGGCTATCTACTAGTATTTAAGAATTTTTCTGCCATACTTAAAACTTAAAATAAATTTTAAATTTTAATTTATATTGCAATACTTTTATATTTATCTTAATTTACCCAATCACTCAGATCCTAGTAAATACTCCGGATTAAAGGTTAATATTTCGCTTATTTATTTTCTCTCCATAAGTTTTTTTTTGTCGCTTTTACCTCCTTTGATCCTCCCAAATTTATTTTATAAAAGATTTAATTTTCTTAAGATATATAGTTTTTCTAACTGTATTTAGTCCTACATGAAACTCTTTATCTCAAAATATAGAGTCAACAATAAAATATCCCCCACCTTCAGAATAAAAAAAAGGTGTGAAACAAGGCTGTACTCTATCACCGTTACTGTTTAATATCATAATCAGTAAAATTATAAAAGAGGTCCTAGGATGCGCAAATCTAATAGAAATAAGCTCAAACACAACAAGATTTTAGAAAACAAAATAATATCTTATGCCGATGACATAGTCATCATATCGACTAGCTTCGAAGAAACGAAAGATATGCTATATTTATTAGGTACCCTGAGCCTAAGATGGGGTTAAAAATAAATTTCAAAAAACTTGTATTCTTTCTTCTCCAAACGCAACTCAAAATCTAAATTTCACAATCGATGGAAATGAAATCAAAATAGTTGACAAAATAAAATATCTAGGCGTCATGTTTGACAACACAGGAGGTTATAAAGAAGAGCTGAAAATAAGAATATAAAAAGCAAGAGGAGCCTTTTATAAATACATGAAAATATGGAAAACAAAAGAAATATCTGTACACATCAGACTAAGAATTTTTAATTCCACAGTTACTCTAATATTGCTATATGGAAGAGATCTATGGGAATTAAACAAAACGGTGAACAGAAAATTACAATCATTCATAAATGACTGCCTCCGAATCATTAACGAAATCTTCTACCCGAGAGTAATATCCAACAATTATCTATGGAAGATATCAAAACACACCCCAATTAACATTACCTTAAAAAACGGCGCATTCAATTCCTCGCCCAAATCATAAGGAACTCAGAACATAATCTAGTTCATGATGCAATTAAATGACTATACACTTATAAAAAAAAAAGAAGAATACACTAAATATAAATCCATATGGTACTATAAAACAATAAAAGATGTTATGGAACTTAACTTAAACATGAAGCATATCATCAAACTAAATAATTGCAAAAATTCTATCAAAAAACTTTTCCGTATTAAGGATAGATATCTGAAATGAATAATTTCTTAATATTTCTAAACCACTGTGTTGCCACTAGATCGGACAAACTATAACTCAATTGGTATGTACTTTATATTTTAAATATTGTTTGAAACAATATATGCTTGAACAATTTTCTTAAACTTAAAATCAGCCACAACCCACCCTTAAAGTAATTAACTTACGCAGCAGTTCTTGGGCATAGGCTCTTTATCTCTGCCCCGCTCTTTCTCTTGGAGCCTATGGACGCCTAAGTGCGTACAAGTACGTGCGGCTTACCCACAAACGTGTAGAGGGCTCCTCACATTTTTTTACTTTCGTACTCAAATTAATTTCGTTTTTTCCAATTAGATGGAAGTGAGGAATACAGAGCGTAGCTCTGTTGTTTACTCAACGGTTAGAGGGCATATGCGCTATATTTCACGTATCACGTATTTGTATAGTTAAATAATTTGAATAGTTATTTTATCGAACTTTGATTATCATGTATGGTATAGTAATTTAATATTAAGTATGTATTTGAATATTTAATTAAATTATTTTAATAAATTCTTAGGCTTGTTCATCATTTTATTTCACCAAATGTTATTTTGCAAGAGATTTTCATTTTAATGTGAATGTGCGAATTGTGGCCAATCAATACATGACCAGTCAATACTCACCTCTCTATACGCGCCTATACCTAAAACGAATTATTTGTTATTCGATATTCGACTCGATTCGTATTTTACGAATACATATAACACAATTATTCGATTCGAAAATTCGAATATGGAAAATACATTATTCATCGAATAATTTTTTACCTATTATTCCATCGAATTATTCGAGATTATTCGATTAAAATAATAATAATGAAAAATAATCATATATTATTAGTAGGAATTATTTGCAATTATTCCTATTTAATAAAATTTCCTAGTGGAATAATGAAGAAACATTTTATATTTCTTAAATTGTTGTTAACGGCTGTTTTTATTCGAATACCTTCATAATATAAAATTAACTTCCGAAAATTGTTTTATGATGGACGAAGAAAGTATGTTTTTTTATATGCAATTTTTAACACATGTACAATTATAATAAACTAGTAGCCATCCCGTCAAGAATGACGGGCGAACCAGATATTTCTCCGTCGTTTGATGATGGAGAAATCATAAATTTTACTTTTTGCAAAAACTTTTTGTTTAAAAAATATGATATGAATATTTTATTCATTTTACGACATTATTTATAAAAATACTATATATATATATATATATCTGCTTTTATATTATCTTACCAATAAAAATAGTTTGTCTTTTATCCATAGTAAAATTTTACGAAGTAAATTTAATATTCTATCTTTTTTTATTTATGGTTAAATAAAATTTTAGAAATTGAATCGAATATTCGATGAATCGAATAATCATTTTATACGAATACAAATAATTATTCGATTTAAACGAATATATCAATTAATAGTTACGAAATTTCCATTGCCTATTTTTCTAGGTATAAGCGCCTTTATACGTTTATTAAATGAAGCTTTTTAAAGTCTAATTTTTTTTTGTGTGAATAAAGCTAAATGCCTAAGGATAATATTTATATAAAATATCAGTAATCTAAATTAATTTTTTCACCAAACAAAAAAAATGTGTAACGTGATTTTTCCAGAAAAAGGTACTAAAAACAGTTTATTTGAAAGTCTGCATTGGGAAGGGGTTTTTTTAACCGCCCGTAGCCCATTATTTATAAAAATTTTTTAACCCAAGCCCGCTTATAAAATTTAATTATGGTCATTATTTCATTTTTTTTAAGCATCTAATAAAAAAAATATTTCAGCATTACACCTCTACAAAAAGTTTATAATTTAGGAAATTAATATAGGTATAAAAAATAATCGATGTAAATTATGGACAATTTATTTGATCAAAATTGAATATTTATAAAAAAAAAAATATAAATGTAAAATTAATATTATTTGTAATTATAATGAAAAAATAATAATGAATCGACATTTTCTGGATTCAGACACGTTCTTCTTTGTTCTAAAAAATCTTCCAGCAATGCTAATTCCACGTTCGGAAGAAGCACCAGAAAAGTTTCATTACATTCCCATAAAAGGAAATTTTTGATAGACAAGAATGTTTATTTATTCTCAGGAAAAAGTTTTATCGTTGTTTATTACATAATATAGTTAGGTAAATGTTCTTCACTTAAAAAAAAAAAACGATTGGTACAATAAAAAAAAAAGAAATATTGTTATAGATCATTTAAACTTATTTTTTTTAGTTTGTTTTTGAACAAAAATTTTAAATTTCCTTAACCCCCCCCCCCCCCATTGTTTAAATTTCTTAACCCACCCGCTTGCTCATTCTCGAAATTTTTTTTACCCGCCCACTTAGGGTGCATTCACAGTAGAGAGCGACAGCGACACGACAAAATAAATATGTGTAAATACCAATGATTATTCATAGTGAGCTTTTGCGACCCGTCAAGACAATCCCGCCAAATTTGTCGCATTAAACCAATGACATATAATAATACCTAGACTGACGATTCATTCATTAAAATGCATTTTTAAGCGTCGTTAAAAGCAAATCAGCTGGACCCGCCATTTTGGTAACCTTTATAATAATTATTTTCATGTTAAAAACTAATATTAAATTGATAACTTACTTTCTTATTATCTCGATGATCAGGCAATTCTTTAATAAAGTTTGCATCAGATATAATATAAAATTAGGCTCTCGTTTAAAATTTTAATATTTATTACAGTAACCAAGATGGCGTCTTTAGCTGATTTGTATTGATGTACACTTTTAATGAATGAATCGTCAGTCTAGGTATTATTATATGTCATTGTTTTAAACATAAAAATCACATTACAAAACATTTTGTTATTTTCAAAGCGACAAACTATAATATGGCCGAAATACAAAATTTGCAAGTAAATTTTTGATTATAAAAATATCATATATATATTTTTTAGGATATAAATAAAGAAGAGTTGATCAACTCTGTTAGATTTTACCCTTGTCTTTATGACAAAAGATCAATTGGGTATAAAAATACCCAGAAAAATAATTCCATACGGAAATCCATAGCAGCAGAAAATAGTATTGAGACAGGTAATTAAAGATTATATTAATTTAAAATATTTTTCTTTTACAGTATAGATAACTAAATCTACATAAAAGAATCTAAGAGATTCTTTTTTGAGGGAACATAAAAAGTGGGTCAGGGGCTGATAACAGTCCCACCTGGAAATTTTATAATAATTTAACTTTTTTGATTCCCACTATAGAATCTGGGAAACAATACACCAACCTGAAAAAAATAAAACCTCTTATACCTAATATTGGTGAAGCAAACATTGCTAGAGCAATGTTTGAACAGATGAGTGGAAATTTCCAATATGAAGATGGTAAATATACTAATTTTTGTTAAAATTTTTATTATATAGCTGTTGAAATTGAATGTGTAGAGATTAGTCAGAGTCAATCTACAGATGTTAGGAATGATGGTGATTATATTTTATATAAATAATATTATATATTTAGCAACACCATCAACTAGTGAATCTTATGTACCTGGCAAAAAGTTAATTAAAAAGAGAGATATTGATCAAGGTAATTTGCATTTGTAAATATATTATTTTAAACTAGATTTATTTTAGCAAGTTCTTGAAATTGAAAGAATAAAAGAAAGCAGAAAATCAACAAATTCTTGGATCAATGTGATGCTTGAGCAGACCCTTAATAAAATTTAATCTCACAATATACTTTTTTAATAATTATCATAAACTCTTGGATCAATGTTTTGCTGCATATTTATTATATTAATAAAATTTAATCTCACAATATACTTTCTTTTTAATAATTATCATAAACTCTTGGATCAATGTTTTGCTGCATATTTATTATATTAATAAAATTATCTCACAATATACTTTCTTTTAAATAATTATCATAAACTCTTGGATCAATGTTTTGCTGCATATTTATTATATTAATAAAATTTAATTTCACAAGATATTTTCTTTTTATTAAATAAATAATTACAAATCATAAAAATAGTTTTTTTAAATATATTTGATAGGTTATTTTTTCTGCGTCTTTTCATTGCTCGATATAAGAGGATTAATTTTAAAGTTGTAATTTGTGTATATTTTTTAATATTATAAATTAAAATTCCAGCTTCAGGAAATAAAAGAATAGGAAGAAAAAAATATGAATTTTTTTGGAATCAAGACAACTTGTATTTTATTGATGTGATCATAAAGGTCTGGCTTGTTAATAATTTCTGCACAAGTTGTTTAGTCTAGCCTAAAAATTTATTTCTCAGGCTTGTTCAGTTTTAGTATTTCAAAAAGTTTGCCCAATAAAACATGCTATAATTTTTTTTATATAATTTGTATGGTCTAGTTTGTAAAAATTGTATGAAAAATCAAGCCTGGGGCTTCTAAAGTTTTACAATTTTAAATATTATAATTCTTTGTAATGTAATACAAAATTTCCTTTTATTTTGGGTTTCACGTGTATAATTTATTAAATTTCCCTGAATACTTTGTTCAATTTATAATAGACATACGTGAAAAATATTTGAGAAATTTATCAAGTTGCTTAAAGGGAAACATAGTATTTAAAAAGATATTTATTTTATTAATCAATATATTTATTTAACAAAATATCCTTGTGTTGGTTGTCTGCATATCAAATTATTCCAGGAAAAATTTTATTCAAGAAAAAAAACAATGAATGAAATCATTATAATTGCCCCAGTTTTATAAGGGTGCTCTCAATTATAAAAAGAATAATTTAAATTATAAATAGAAATATAGAAGAATCACAACATTACTGACAAAAAAGAGACAAATTAATAGGGGAAATGTGCCATAAATAGCTATGTGTGAAGACTGGCCAGAACCCTTTAACTTTTTATCTATTAGACCAATTTCTCTCAAAATTAGTCAAAATGTGTATATTTATGATATGTACCTTAGAGGTTTGCATTGGGCGGTGTATTCGTCCGCCCATCTAAGGGTGCATTCACAGTAGAGAGCGACACGACATTAAGTGACAGAGCAGCTCATGTGTCGTAAGCGATATAGCATTCATAGTAGTAGGCAGCAAAGATATTATTATTTTTTTTAAATAATGGTGGTTTGACATCTCTCCCACAAGCCATTTAAAAGATTTGGGTCATTGATGGCAATAAGCCAGACCTAGATTTTTCTAAAAATTTGCCAGGTCATGGATTGGCTAGTAGAGATATTCGAATTGTGTACTGGCTCTAATTTAAAAAAAAATAATTTAGGTTTAGACCTAATATTTTTTAAAAAAAATTAGGGGCCAGGCTTAAATTTTTAAATATACCAATACTTTTAGTTTAATAAATTGAGACATTTTAAAATTCTTGCAAGAAATCTAAAATTAATATTGCTCAATTTAATTCAAATTTTTATAATTTTAACTAAAAGGTGAAGAATATCAAGTCAAGTTATGCTTCTAATTCAGAGACTTGAACTGGTTAAAAAAATTCAGCAGATTAAGTGGTAACTTACTCACACTTGTAAGTGTTAGTTCAATGCAAGATTTGTCCATTCAACATCAATATAGGTATTTTTTTTTATTAGTTAATCTGCTGAAATCCATTGAATATTTTTGTAGCCATCTAAATTATTGAACATGGCAAAATCATTGCCCTTTTTAGCTGTAGTAAATTGTACTAATATGAACACTAGTTTTATCTGTAAAATAGACAACAATATTCATTAAAAATCAAGGATTGGTGGTATTTTTTTTATTAGAATAGTCTTGTTTGGAAGTTTAACAATCAAAATAAAATTTTTTACTTTTATAAAATAGCAGAAATTTGATAATCTAAAATAAAAATTCACATCAATTTTATAGGAAATAAATAATCTCTCAGAATTATTAACTATTTCATGTAACATTTAATTGTCTTTTTCTACAAGACAAAAATTAATTTAAGATATTGCAAACTAAAGCAGGGTGCGTAGCAGGTCAATTAGCAAACCTTGATTGTTTTCTGAATATATCATTTAATAAAGTCATTCAAGAGTATTAATGACTTATTAAAAGAGTACATAAAGCAAAGCAAATCTAAAAACATAATAGGAATAATATTCTGAATCATAAAATATAAAGGTTGAAATAATTTTAAAACTTCAAAAAATGTTAAATTTATTTTAGTTATAATCATATATTTAATTAGGTCTCTGTTTAAGCTATATTCAGAGGGTAGATATTTTGTCATATTATTTGGTCATGGTAAATTTACATCATCAAATATGGAATAAAGTTATTGCAAATAAATTTTGATAAATAATCATGAATATTGTTTAATTACTTTATTAAGTTACATCTTGTATAATATATCATAAAAAATTATGTATATATATATATATAGTAATTTAATTTTCCATGGCATCTGCAGATATTGATGCTTCAGTATGCTTGCCCTTACTTTTATCCAGCTTCTTATATTGTGCTTTACGCTCTAAGATTCGTTTTCTATCTCTATCCATTTTTAATTTAACAATTACGACCTAATAACATATTTAATTTAGTATTTCTATATTATTTATACTTTAGAAGGATGAATACCAACAAAAACGGTTGCACCATTTGCCTTTTCTCTTTGAATTCTTTCAATATGTATAACAAATTTTTTTCTATAACATTGAACAACTTTTCCTATCGTTTGACTTTTAAAATGTCCTCTTACAACCTATATAAAAAAAATTACAAACAAATCTTATCATAATAAGCTAACTTGAACTTCATCGTCTTTTTTAATGGGTATACTTCTAACGCTATATTTTGTTCTTAATTCTTTGGATAGCGGGGAGCTCATTATTTTCCTTCTGATATGAGAAGGCGCGTTAAAATGCCTCCTTCTATTTTTTCTCCTTGAGATAGTAACGAATGGATTTCGCTTCATTTTTAGTTTAATGCGATATGAATTAAACGTATGATTGAAAAAAAATATTCAACTCGGATATATATATAGTGCCTAAAACATTTGTTTAAATAAATTACATTATTTATTATATATTTTAATTTATTTAAACAAAATCTTGAGAGAATCAGTATGATTGCAACAATTTTATATCCGTATATAGTAACAGTAGAATTCCCAATAATGCCTTGAATTCTGTTACATAAATTTCTTTAGTAGAACTTTCATAATGGACAGTATAGTTTTTACTTAAATTAAAAATCATTTTAAGAAATGATTTATCTCTAAATTAAGATTTTAGTTTTTCAAATTTTGATTTACAACTTTAATTGTAAATATATTTTTTAAATATTTCAAAAAAATATATATTAATTTAAATATCAAATATTAATATTCATCTTATATTTAGTATACATTGTTATAGTGTGTGTATGTTATAAGTTTTCTCAACTCAATAACAGGTAATTTTTTAAGATTTTTATATATTAACTTAAACTAATTTATGATTATATTTGTATCTCACTAAGAAAATCTATAAAGTTATCAAAACATTTTAATTAACATAAGAGCTAGTTAAACCATATGACGTGTAATACTTAAAATTAAGAATTTACCATACTACAACCTCATCCTTTAATAGATTTTTAATATGTAGACTTTATAAAATTATCAAAATAATGTATTAATTATTTTTATCCATTTTATTGTATATTTATAATTTAAAATATTTAATCATTCTATTTAGGCTAACATCTTTTTATAAGGTGATAAATTTGATGGATATAGCTATCTTAGATGCCTTAATAAAATAAATAATATTTAAATTTAATAAAATATTTTTATTAAGAATTATTAGTTAGATGGATGTCCGATTTGTGTATTATAATGTAGTCTAAATGTTGGAATGACTGAAGCTAGATTTTTTGCGAATTTTATCGGTGATGGATACACTAAATGTATCCCTAGATTATCTTCGAAAATGATGAAAAATTGCGTAGGTTGTAAGGAAAGTTTTATATGCTTTTTATACGAATAGTAATGATTATTTTTTTTTTATATTCGTACACACACTATATATATATTATCTAAAAATATAAATTAGAATACATATAATCAAAACGAAAAACAAAAAGTAATTATAGGTAAGGTTGTAAAAATCTATATATATAATAGCCGTATTCAAGAAATGAACGTTTTCCTATATTTATAACGTTAATATTTTTTTGTATCAACTTTCATATCTTCATAACGTTAATTTTTATTTTTTCTATCAACTTTCCTATCTTCTTAATGTTAAATAAATCGAGGGCTTTTATTATCTCGATAATGTTAAATTTTTTTTAATTTTTTTTTTCTTACTAGAAGATTCGAACTCACGCCTTAATTTCGAAGGCAACCGTTCTTACCGTTCAGCCCCTTTAAGCTTTATATTTTGTTATAAAAATCTTTATTTATATTTGATTTTTTAAAATTAACTAAAATTAATCAATATTTATTTTTTTTCATTGGATTATTAAGCTCTAATACTAAAACGTTTTACAAATTTAATAAGTATTTTAAATGGCAATAAAAATTTTTTTCAATAGTTATATTAAATACTTAATACGAATGTATTACATATCTATATGTGAAATTATAATAAATTTTAGTATATAATTAAAAATTATATTATTAAGAAAGCATTTTAGAAATTTAATAAATATTTTAAATGGCAATAAAACATCGTTATATTAAATACTTAATACAAATATATATCTTACAAATTATATTATTAAACAGATGCTACAAATTTAGTTCAAATACTTAATTTTCCTATACTTAAGTATTTTATTTATGTTTTTTGCTACGGTTTGGATCTTCATTAAATAAAACATTAATAGCCATTTTTGGGATTTTTACTGGTAACAAAATTGGGAACATCTCTTTTTTTGGCTATTTATCGTTTAGCGATTTAGAACCTATACCGGCACGCGGCGTTAATTCCGCGCTTATAGTATGTGGTTGAAAATTATTATAAATTTATTTTTCACATTTTTGTCTCTTTTTCCTATATTTCTACCTTCTTTTATTCATTCTTTGCTCATCTCTTTGCTCCCCTAAAACCCATCAATGCTGACTATCGGGAGCTCTGGTGTTATTAGTTATTATTATGCCCTTCGAGAAAGGCGGGTTATTTTTCCCAATATTTAAATCAGAAATTAAGAATATTTTATGAGGTATGATTTACAAATTTACCTCTTTTTCTATTAAATTTTAATATAATATAAGGTAAAATTTTAATATCCAATATTTAAGAACATTAATTGCCGTCAAACTTGACGGGCTATCAACTAGTTAGATTATAAAAAAGTAAAAATATAAATTTGAATATATAACAATTAATGTTAATTGCACATTAAATGAGATTAAGATTATTGGAAATTCATTTATAAAGTTTTAAAAAAATTTAAAAATACAAATTTTTAGGTGATGTAGACATTATTTCATTTGAAATAATATAAGCTTTTCAACAACAAATTTTATGTCATCTTTATTATAGCATATCAATTATATTTAAAATATATTAAATATTATGTTTTTTTATTATATAAATCAAATTTTATATATTAAATATTATGTTTTTTTATTATATAAATCAAATTTTATCCAAAATTTAAAATTATCTAAATAAATGAAATATAGAATATGAAGAAAAATTGGTCCATAAATTTCTAATATGTATAGAAGAACAGATATAATAGCACCCCATAATATAAATTTTAAAGTCATAAATAAATTACCGTTAGATGGCGTATTAAATTTAAAATTTTAATTAAAAATAATATCAATTATAAGAGCATCATTTTTTGATCTGGAAAAATTTATTTAGTACTTTCGTTTAATGTTTAAAAAATAAGTTAATTTATTTTTTTAAATCCTAAAAATCTAAAAAAAACAAAGACTAAACTAAATCATAAATTTTGATGCTAAGATTTTTGAAATCTTAGAAGTTATAACAACAACAAAAAAACTGCCATTTGTGTAAGTCACTATAGGAATAAATAGGAAATTGCTAAGATTTTTGGTATTCATTGATCTTTTTTGTTTGCTTCTGCTAGCGGATTGATATTGATGTTTGAGGGGAATGGAGAGACCCATGTGAAGTTCCATATTTAGTAATTTATCGAAGGCCGGAAGGTATAGTTATCATACCGTCAGGTCTTAAGCTATCTACATGGGCTCAAGATGATTCAGAATGAGGACCGCTCTTAAGCCTCGATTTATTACATGGTTAATCACTGTGTGGCGTTAATGTCGCCAACCGTGCCTTACATATCGAGATAAAATTTTTCAAAAAATAAGTAGATAATTTTATGCGAAATTCAAACTAGACACATTTAAAAAAAAATAATTAAACATAACATTTGAATTTATTAAAATAAAATTATCTCTATTTTTTTTATAGTAAAAGATTGTATAGACAAGATAAAAATTTTATTTAAAAAAAATTAATAAACGAACTTTATTTTTGCAATATATAAAAATTGAATAATAATTTTATGTGAATATATTAAATAACGTTTAAAAAATAAAATATTTTTAAAGATTAAATATAAAAAATTCTTAGTTTTTGGAATTATATAATAATAATATATATTGTATTTTTTTTCGAGATTCAAAATATTGGAATTAATATGTTTAAGTAAATTATTAAGATATTTATATAATTTCTTGCATGATATATTATAATTTTTGTTTTAATCATAAGTTCGGCCTTTAATGTTGTTTGGTGGGCAAACCAAATTTTCAATTTCTCTCATCTTAACAAATTACTGAGTAAATTTTTTCCAATACAAAAATAAATAAATAGAAGCTATTTAGTTAATAGAAGCCTAATCCATACTAATTATAATTTTAATAACAAAAAATGTATATATTATACATAAATTTCATTCCCATTAATGATAAAATATAGTCTTAAATTAATGGCATTTAGGACGACGAGTACCTTGCAAAAATTTTACTATCCAAAATTGCAAATGAGAGATAGAAACAAACTAATTTTGAATTACAAAATTTTATAACAAAATTTTCCTGGATTATATTCATAATTATAATAGACAAATATAATTAATATCTATTTATAAATCGAAAAAAAAGTTTAATTAGTAAAATGTTAACTGTTATTGATGACAATGGCTAAATCGGACATTTTGAATATCATTTTTACCTTATTTTTTTTTTAAAATACATTGGCAAAGTTTTAAAAATGACAAAGATGACAATTGTCACCCATATGCACCCTTAAAACTTACTTTATTATTGAATTTACACTATAAAATATTCATTTTTTTTCTTCTTAAAACAACATTAAAAAGGATTTAAAATGTCGATTATGACGATTGTCACCTCTTTGAATTATAACAAAAAATATCGAAAATATTCATTATTACCTATTTTCGCTTAATTAAAACTTATAAAGTTTTGTAATGACGATTATGACAATTGTCACCCTTCTGAATTACACTATAACTAAAAACAAAATTGATAATATCCATTTATACATAATTTCATTAAAAAAATACATTAAAAAAGTTTTGAATTGACGAATATGACAATATTGTAACCATTTTGAATCACATTATTTATATTTACATTAAAAACAGAGCTTTAACCAGTCAAACTTAGCATAAGCTCAGTCTTAGCCAATGAAAATAAGCTAAAGCTTAGCCAATCAAAATCGGCCTAAGCTTAGCCTTTTTGCCCAAATAAATCGGCTAAGGCTTCTTAGCCAAATTAAATGGACAATGGCTGTGGTGGGCGTATGGCGTAATATTTGCTCTTTGTACTAATAAAAAAAAAATAATATTACGATAAGCAATCCGATATTGATATTGATATTACGGAGACTTGCAGAAGTACCGTGTTCAAGGCCCGGCCCGGATTTTTTTATAAAAAAAAAATTAGTTCGGTAAAATAAGATTTTAGAAATTTAAAATTATAACGCGCTCAAAAAAATGCGATGTTAAATCACCTAACTTTGACCAAC